ACGCTCCTCGCGCAAGGCTTCTCACCATATGTCTCCACTTGTGTCCACTTGTCTTCAACAGGGTCGTAGTAATGAACATCATCTACTTCACATCCGTCGAACCCATAAACAACCCAAACCTTTCCTTCCACTACTTCGAGCCCGGCTCCTCCTCTTGCGCTAAGCGATTCTCCTGGAGTCGCACACTGTACCCACTTCTTCTCAACGATGTTGTAGGCGTCTAGGTTCTTGAGACGCTCCTTGGAACTCACTCCACCGAAAACATAAACGTTGTTCTCATCGGCTGCCATAGAGTGGAAGCTACGAGGAGTGGGTCCTTTTTCCACGGGAGTTAGCAGTTTCCACTCTTTCGTGGTCGTGTCAAAAGAGTAGAGACCGTTGTACTTTCGGGAAAAGTCTCGGCCTCCGAAGACATAGAGGGTTGATCCAACGGACACCATACCGACGCCTAAGCAAGAGAGGTGCGGAACGTCCCCCGTGACTGGTGAAATGGACCAAGTCTTGGTCTCTAGGTCAAAGACGCAAAGATGCTTGTCAATAGGCACATTTGGTGTGAACTCACCACCAAAGGAGTAAATCTTGTTTCCTACTTGTGCTATGGCATGTGAGCATCTTAGCCCTGGACCTTCTCCTTTTTGCTCCACCTTATAAATTAATTATATATGTTAAAGAATGTTTAAAGAGATTTATTATTATTCGGAATGATTCCAAGATTTTCACATTTTTAAATTTAGTCAAGTTGACAACTTCCATTGGATTTTCAATTTTAGTCAAGGTTTTTTTTTTCCCACTTATTCCACAGCATATAGATACCATTACGTCCTATCCAATTAAATCCTTAGTTATGTTTTTTTTGACCAATCCTCAATTAGTTAATTTTGTTGTCTGCCTTTTTTTTAGATATACTATATAAACTACCTTAGCCCACTTTCCAAGCAATTCAGGAGTGGATGGGAAAGAAACATAGGCTCCAAGAGAGTGTAGAACATCGGACGAACGCCCGTGAAACCCTACGATTTTGCCACCTTGGAGAACATACTTTACCCCCGGACTCGTCTGGAACTCCTGATTGGTTTTCCCTTTATAAGTCGCAAACTTTAGAGCCACGATAGTCTCTTCAGTTTTTTTCTCACAGAAAGCTTCCACGTATATGATGTAGTCATCTGCATCAACCTCAAACTACAAAAAAAACCTCAAAAACATAATTATTTATAGACTTATACTATATATTGCTCCATCTGTTTCAATAAGATGTATGTTTTATAATTTTTACACATCAAAAAAACCATATGAATTTTTAATTTTCAGTGTATTATTTTTTGTAATTTACTATTTTCTATAACTTTTAACCAATATAGTTTTAATTAATGCATTGAAAATGTGAACTATGTTTTTTTAGAAATAATTTTTTTTCCAAAACATGGATTATATTAAAATAGAGAGAGTATATATTAGTACCTCCTCAACTCCTAGGAGTGTGTGTTTTCCATGTTCATCTCCAACAACCACTTGAGAACCATCGACATACTCAAACTTGATGAAGGATATACAATCTTGGCCTTGCCCTACACAAACTTTTCTAACATTTTCGTGAACACCATCATCCCATAAATCACCTTTCTCACCACCCTTAGCCTCCAGCTTTTGGGCCATCTCTTTTGCTTACGCTTGATCGATCTTACGAGGATTATAACCTGTAATTATGAATATAACTGTCTTATACAAATTACAGTTATGTAGGAGAAAGGGAGAGAGATGGTGAGAGCTGACCTGAGAAGAAAGTAATGATTGTTGCAGTGATCTATATTGGGAAATTGCATGGGTATTTATAGACCCATGGAAGTTCACGTCCACGTATATCTTGGTAGACATATCTCGTGATTCCCTACACAAAGACCTCGACGTATGGACAGTATTACAGGAAAGATTTTCACTACGCACAATACACATATTAAATGATAATACTACTCATTCAAAAGCACCTCAAATAATGAACGACTCACATGAGTTTTAAATTAATACTTTAATATAATTTAGCTAGATATATCGATTTTTTAAAAAAATAATATTGGAACAGCCATAAAATGTTTAAAAAAATTCAGTTTTTTTCCAAAAAAAGAATTAAACGAATTTTCACTTTTTTTTACCTTTAAAAGATATTTTCATAGTAAAAATATTCATTGAAAATCTCCACCGAAAGTATACTAGAATTTGAAGAGACTTATACAAATAACAAATCATCTGTTATTCATATACAAATTTAAAAACTTTTGTAAAATTAGCAGTATTAAACTTTAAAATTAACACATAATTTTAATTTCACAATTATTGAAAATATTTTAATTAATGAATTTGAAAAAAGATCTAATGTATTTATAGTGTTTAGTGAAAATTTTAATTATATGAAATCTAAATTTCATAGTTTAGATAGTAGAATTCTGAAACAATTTTATCATGTTAACTTTGTTAATTCACCCAAAAGCATATGAAGTTCATTGAAAATTAAATTATCTACTCTATTAGAATAGAGTCATTTTTTTATCTACTATAAACAAGTCTAAGTAAAACCATTTCAGTAATTACTTAATATGACATATTTGATTATTTACATTAATCAATCAATTATATACCGACATGTCTGATTTAAATTTTGTTTTAAGTTATAACACAATCAGTTGAGAAAAATCTAACAAAATCTTACTAAAAATTCAAATATTTTTTTTTTAAAAAATAACACAATAATTAATTTCGTAATTAATAATATAATACTATTATGCATTAACTAATTTTTTATTATAAAACAGAAAAAAAAATTCTATCATATTTTTATAATTTCCATGTTATAGTCTATATTGAATTAAAACAGAATTACACTATAAATTAAATAAACATAGATAAATATGGTAAATTAAAATTTTTCTTTTTAAGTTTTTCACTTAAATACTATAGAATAATTAATATGACATATTTGATTATTTACATTAATCAATAAAATATACACCAAATATGCTGAAAAGAATAGATTTAAATTTTATTTTTTAGTTATATCAGTTGAGAAAAAATGTAACAAATTCTTACTAAAAGTTCAAATATATTTTTTATAAAATGGCACAATAATTAATTTCATATTTTATAAGTTTCATAGTATAGTCTATATTATATTAAAATAGAAGTACAAAATGAATTAAATTTTTATTTTTAAATTTATTTTACTGGAATAAACAAACTATTATTCACCGTTAAAAAGATTAACATACATAAACTATGTATATTTTCATACAAAAAAATGTTAGCAAACGTTAAATTTTTTTATATCTCCAACTATATCTTATTTTTTACTTATGTTAAAACTCACAACTATCTATTATCTAAAAATGAGTATATATAAAATATATTAGTATATAACTAAATTTTAGTTCATGTATTATATAATAAGTAGTATGTTTGAAAATTTTAATAATTCAAAAAAGATTAATGAAAAATCTTTTTAACTACAAATTTATTTTTAATTATAAAATAATATGTTGAGAAAATATATTAAAATATAACCAAAATTGTATACAATAATGTAGTAATTTAGTACTTTTCAAAATATTTCTTGACCAAATATACAATTTTGAAAAAAAGTTTCTTAAACTCAAATTGAAAAAAGTTATAAAAGATAAAATTATAGATGATAAAGTGTATTTTTTTAAATGGAACACGACAAACAAAATACTATTTAAAAACAAAATAGTGTAATATTTTGAAATAGTAATTTAATAAAACAAATTAGAGAACTTAATACCATAACATCCAAAATATTTTTATATTGATAAAAATTACTAAAATAATACCATAGATGCTACTATATATAAAATTTATCAGAATAATATATCTAAATTAGTTAAGCAAATAATTAAATATATTTTTAAAAACTGAAATATTCTAAAATGATATATGTTAAAGTTCTATTTAAACACAAAATAGAAATATCAATTAGCTTACATAAATATTATTTTATAATAGCTAAATAAAATCTAAAAATGTTTTGAATGTAACTTATAAATTTTTATTAAAAACATATTGTAAAAGAGATTTTCTATTTGAATATTTCAACTTATGAATTTATTTTACTTACTCGAAAAAAATTACCATGTATAAAAACATTAGATATTAATAATGTTGAATAACAAAGTAATAAATTAAAAAATATTATACATTAATAATTTTGAATGAAAACTTAAATAATAAGATTTAAAATTACACAATATAACATAATAATTGATATAAAATGATGACATGAATATTAAATATATATTTTAAAATAAAAATACATCCGCACAAATGTGCGGGTCAAATATCTAGTTTTAATTTAAATAGTTCTCCGACAATCATCTACTATGTGATTTTTCATAGGCCTTTTCTTTTGAATTCTTTTCTTGTTATCTTATATTTTTAATTTTTAGATCCCTCTGTCAGAAAGATATTTCAGTTCTCAATTTTCACAAAAATTCAAATTTATAACCCCCTCTGTTATATACTCATCGTATTCATATCTTGATGAAATAGTCACTCTATTCCCCTAAACTTCATTTTATTTTGGTACACCTTACAGTCTATAACATTAAAGAACGCCCTAATTCCCTATGTAGTGTCTGAGAAGTAACTTTATTTTTAAGTAAATTAAATCATTTTCAGAACATTTTAATTAAGTAAGATAATTGTTTGTCAATGTTACAATTTTTCAGATAAATTGATATATAGTTAAATAAATATAGATAGCACAACTAATCTTTTTGAAGTTAAGTTAATTCAAATATACACTTAGAAAATACAACTTAAACATTGTAATTTTTATTGGTTTGGAAATCATAAAATATTTCAGAATAACTGTTAAACAATTATTAGTATCAACTTATTCGATCTCGATTGAAATGTATTGTTCCAAAAGTTGCCCATACAACATAAATTCTTCTCGGTTGATTATATTATAAACTAGGGGTTTGTCCGCGCTTCGCGCGGAAGTTTTAATATTTTAAATTTAAAAATTGGTAATTTTACTGTATCTAAAGTAGACTATGCTAATACTATTTTTAAAATGAATAAATCTCTAGATTATTGTATTTAATATGAAAATTTATAATATATATATATAAAGCTTCGAAATTATATAGATATATCTTAATCACCAC